GTAGAGGAGTATAGACCTCGACTTCGGCTATTGGCAAAGTCAAATTAGGGGCTTGAGCCACGAGGACAACTGAAGCAGAAGGATCTCTAGCTGTTAAAGCAGGAGCAGTTATAGGAGTGAAACTTGTAGAAATGATTGAAGAGGAGGAAACACTTTGAGCTTGAACCTCAGCAAGTGGAATAGGCACCCTAATCCCTTCAAGAGCTATTTTAGAAGCAGAAGGTGTCAAGACACTAGCCTCAGTGTTAGCTACCTTAGTCTCTTCCTCAGCTGGGATCTCAAAGTTGAAATTCAAGCCAGGATAAGTCAACTCAACTTTGTCTTGGAAAGTGAGCCAGCCAGTGGCGCACTGTGTAGTGACATCGTTAGCCAACTTAGCAATTAGATCATCCTTCTTTTGAGCCGCAGCCCTCTGCACCTTAAGCTCATTCTAAAGAACGTTGCTTATCTCTGCTAAGACGTCATATTCTCTTTTCATGGCCCTATTAGAGCTCAAGGCCTTGATATTCTCTTAGCTGGCCTTAATTCAGTCATCTGTTTTTTGTCTAAGCTGCTCCTCAGTCTCCCTAAGCTCCTCCTTTGTCTTCCCCAACTCCTCTTTGATGTGCATACCCTCACTTTCAATCTTTTCTTTCTTGATCTCTAAGCCTTTGTTGAGGGAGGTCTATCTCTCCACTTGCACCTGCTAGTCTTGGACTTGGGTTTCAAGGTCGACGTTTTCAAAAGACAGCTCAGCAACCTTGAGCTCGAAAGCCTTGGAAGCTTTGACAGAGCCTTCTAAAGCTTGGATCCTTTTCAATAAGCCACTTACATGAATGGCCATCTAAGAGCAAAACATAACCCCCAAAAGGCTAAAGTCAGCATCAGGGAATGATGCAAGGTAAAAAAGAAAGTCGAAAGGCCAAAGACTTATAGAAGTAGTGCCGAACAGGGCAGTAGAAATGGAAGTTCCTAGGGGCATACTTGCCACCCTCTGGATATCAAATTCTGGAATAATGGAGGTAATGGCCTCTGCTGCACGCCTAACATTATTTACTCACGGTGATCGAGATGAAGGATTCGTATACTAGTCTTGAGAAGTTACATCAATGTCGATGCGTCGGTATATGCACTTTTTGAAAATGGGTCATCCTTGCGAGGATTGTATTATTGATTGGGTGTGTGAGTGTGAGTTAGGATATTCTCGATGTGTGAATTCATGTTAGCCAATCTATATGTATATATGATATATATGTTGATTGCGTTGATATATGTGGCTTGAAAGTTGTGATACTAATGAATATGTACTGTGTTCACCATAAAACTAAGATCTTTTCAATTGTCACAATTTTAATTCAAATCGTTATATATTTATTTTGCAAAGTGAGGCCTTACTGTTTTATGTATTTCAAAACTTTGTTGGGTTTGAGAAGGTTTTTCTACTGGGCTTATTGGCTCATCCTACGATATATAATATTTCAGATTTCGTTTTCGTGGAAGATCTCAGACTAGGTGAGCAAGGAAAGTGGCATACAAATGTGGATTCTGATGTGGAGATTCAGATATGTTTTATTTGGTTTTGAGTTTTAGATAATGGTTTAACAATGTTTTGGATATTTGTCTTTATTAGTTAGTTGAAAGATTAGTATTGTTTTTGGATTTTGGATGTAACAAGAAGGTTTTAATTGTATTTTGATTGGGATTGGTTTAGTTATTTATTTAACGAATGGATGGTTTTCTATTATTTAAAAATTATTTAGATGCTCTCATTGTTTAATGTTGTGTAGATAGTTAATGCTTTCAAATGTGAATTTTGGGGCATTACATTACCACCGTCACCTACCACCACCACCCACCGTTGTCACAAACCACCACCAGTCGTCACCAATTACTACCACCCACCACCACCACCTCACACAACCACCACAAGCACCACCACTTGCCACCACCACCACCATAACCCACCGCCGTCATCCAAACCACTATTACCACCAACATAACCCACCACCACCACCATCCACTACCATCACTGCCCACCACAATTACCATCCATCACCACTGACCAGTTCCACCACCATCACTGTCGCCAACCATTATCGCCGACTACCACCACCATCGCTACCACCCATCACCACGGACCAATACCACCACCATCACTGCTGTCCACCATCACCACCCATCATCGTCAGCATCTACTGTCACCAACCACCACCATTGTCGCTAACCACCCTCCAAAAAAATCCACCACCACCTACTATTGCCACCCACTCATCGCCAAAATTTGTACAAACAATAAACTACAAAAATATTAAAAATTTGATTTGAAAAACATATATAAAAAATAGTGAACTAAAAAAAAATTGAGAATGACAGAAATAATGAACTTTAATAGAATGAAGCTCCTAGGTCAACACACTTTCACAAACAATAAACTTTAATAGAATGAAACTTCGTGGGGGGAGAGGGGTTGAAAGATAAGGGTGGCGGTGGACTTGAGAGGTGGCGTGAAAGCATACTCAAGATAGTGAACTAAAGACACACACAAACAAACACACACTCTCTCTCTCTCCACTACATATATATATATATATATATATATATATATATATATATATATATATGTTTTTCACTTTTTGAATCAATTTTTTGATATGTAAAATTTTGAATGATCTTACTTGTTTGGTTTAGTAACGTTGAATGCCTATTTGAATTTTGTAAAGTTTATAGAGTAGAGATAATATTGTAATATAAAAAAGGGAAAGAATAGTTTGGACTACATAACAAAAACAATAATGAGCTGTGCTAGATATAATGACTTAAAAAAGTCCTTGCTTGGACTTACTACTAAAAAAGTTCCCAAAATTGTAGTTTTCAACAATTTTCACTATAAAATAATTAATTTCTCTAGGAAAGGGCTTGAGAAAATTTTCCTCTGAATTTTTTAATTTTTAAGAATTTTAAATTATTAAATTCCATCCTCTAATCATCTCTTAATTAAAATTTTTTAAACACCAAACTTGGAAATGCTAGCCCATATTAATCAAACAGAGCCTCTTGCTTGAGCTCCTCACTTAAAAAAACACAACAACGTCCCAGATTATTTAGATCTAATAGTTTATATTACAATTTGATTTTTTTACCTTTTAACCACAGTAACTCCTCACTTGGAAAAACACAACAACAATCCAGATCGTTTAGATTTGACAGTTTATATAATGATTTAACTTTTTAACTATAATAACTAATTTAAATTTGAACATTTATCTTTTTAAAAACAGTAACTCATTTAGTTTTTAAGCATAGTAACTCAACCTAAATTTTAATTTTTTAATTATAGTAACTTATTTAAATTTTAACTTTTTAATCATAGTAACTCGACCCATGTATTAAAAAAATTCGTGTTTAGCATGGGACACAGTAATAATTTATAGGGTAAATTTTACTAACACTTCCTAAATTTAAGTTATATTTCACTGACACTCGTTTGATTTTTAAACTATCACTACATGCCTCTATCAGGTTTATTGGTTAACAAACTTAATAGAGAACGTAATTTTATATAATTACCCTTATTAAAACTCCCATTTTAAAGGAGTGTTATTTGAATTTACTCTTATATTTTTATTTTGTTATAAGTTTTATCCCATTTTATGACCTAACCTAACCATGATCACAAAAGTTTTTGTACCAAAGGAGTTTAAATGTCAATTTCAAGTATTACCATTATTAACATAATTCCATCAAATTAATATAAAACTAATATATAATTTCATCAAATTGACCTTTAATTTTGTTTGTTTAATGTTCAATTTTGTCGAATTAATATTTAATTTTATCAAATTAAAACTAAATTAACCTTAAATTTTATTCAATTAACATTAAATTTTATCAAATTAACATTAAATTTTGTCAAATTAACATTCACATTCATTAAATTAGCATTCACTTCATCCAATTAACATTCAATGTTGTTAAACTAGTGGTAAATTAATATTCAATTACATAAATTAACACCAAATAAATATTTAATTTTATCAAATTTACATTAAACTTCATCAAATTTACTGCTAAATTAATATCAAATTAGATTTAATTTATACCCATTTAACTATCAATTTTATCCCAAGATTAACATTTAATTTCATTAATTTAACATTAAATTTATCAAATTAACATCATTTTTGATTGAATTTTAAATTAACATTCAATTTTATCAAATCAATACGAAATGATCATTCAATCTTATAAAATTAATATTCAATTTTATGAATTTAATATTTAGCTTTTATTAACTTAATATTATTTTTTAAAATTAACACCAAATTAATATTCTGTTTAATTCAAAAAAAAATTAATAGGAAACATTATGTATAATCTAATTAACATTTAATTTAATTAAATTAATACTAAATGAATGTTGCCTACTGCTATAAGTTTGTTCTATATAACCAAGGTTAAACTTGAAAACTCAAGTCATCACATTACCAAATGTTTCGTTTTTCAGCAATAGCATAGACGACAGGTGTAATTTGTCTTACTTATATATAAATTATAAGGTAATGCAATAATATTTCAAAAAATAAAAGAGGTGTCAATAAAATATTACTTAAATTCAAAGGTACCACAGGGGCTGGCTCGTCCCGTCAGATTAAATTACTCCTCTTGCCCCCTTCGTCAAAGCTCTCTCTCTCTCTCTCTCTCTCTCTCTCTCACACACACACACACACACATGAATATATGCATTCCACTTTTCCTCTCTCGGAAGCAATCACTCAGATGCTTCTCAATCACAATCCTAATCGGTTACCTCCCCATCTTCTGCCTTATCTTCCATTCATTTAGCTCCGTTTGGTGGGTGAGAAAATGTTAGAAACTGAGAGAAACTTATAAGTTTCAAAACATTAATTCGATTTTTTATCTTAATTTTGGGTTATTTACTGGCGCAGATTGGAATTGGGCTGAAGGGCTGGTTCTTACGAGGGTTAGTATAGTTGCGTGAGGTGCTTGTGGATTCGGATTGGATGGATGAGGATGGAGGGACCTCAGCTGTTGGTATGGACAACCAATCCATTCCAGTCCTTCGGGCCGGTTTAAAGGTTAGTCTATTTCGGTCTTTGAAGATTCAAGTTTAATCCATGTTTTCTTGGTTTTTCTGCTTGGAAATATTGTATATTTTGCTTCAGGTAAAACCTAGAATTAGAAAAGAATTTATGAACCAGAGATATTTAAATGGGTTTGAGTCATTACCAGGAGTTGATTTAGTATCTATTGTCTTCTTATGCGGTGAGTAAAATAAGAATGGGAAACAAATCATAAGTTTTGGGCCGTTGTGGATTAGGATTCAGAGAAGGAGAATTAAGGTCACCTAGAGATTATGGCACTAGACTCTAAAGAGTAAAGATGGACCCAATTTCTTGGGAAATCATTGATTGACACTATTAAGTTTTCGTTTTCCATGTTTGAGGTGTTTATGAAAGGGAAGTAACTTAAAGTTAGTAGAGATTTGATTTATAAAAGAATCAATCTACATTTTGCCTTGGGTTGATACGGATATGAATAAAACTTCATGATGCATTTGGGTGATACTGGTACAATTCGTTGCATGCCAATCATGTTCTTAGACTTTCATAGTTCAATAAACATTTGATTCCTAGAAAATGTAGGAAAGAAAAGAATTTTTCCACTTCTTAGAATTGAAGCTGTCTTGTCGCTATGAGAAAGGAGGACTAGGAAATAGTTAACATTGTCCCCTAGCATATCAAGAAAGATTCTGAAATCGATGAAGGTTTTCCAGTTCTTTGATTCTCAATGCTGATAATCTCTCTTGTGGCGTACTTCTCACAAATTCCTCACTTTCTTGTTTCTCAAGCACCAGTTGTGTCCATATTTTCTACATTATTTGACATGGTTCATTTTCTTCAAAAAGTTTTGAACAATACGTAGACATGAAGCAGGAAAACATTTTAAAGAGAAAAAAATATGCACTTATGGTTGTCTGTTTTCGTGGGTCTTGTTATTAGAGCGCAACACTGCTCCACATGGTTCAAAGTACTGGTCTGATACTGGTACACATTATATAAATATCACAATTTTCACTTGAATCAATAGTGACTTGGATACAACTCAACGGTATTGGCCTAACTCGGAGTTATATTGGGTCAACTTGAGACGATTTGTAATGATATTGGCTTGGTATGGAGTGAATCTTTTGCAAAATCTCCAAAATCCTAGACAAATTGCAAAAGGCATAAGAAACAGCTAAACATAAAAGGAATGATAAGTATTAAAGAAAAAATTAGACCTAAAATCATAGAAATCTGGCCCACATGAGAATTTGAAATTTTCAAACCTTAAATTGGAGGAATCACATGCAAATACACCCTCTTTTGTAACTATAAATACAGAAGAGGAAGAAGATTGGAAAAAAAAAAAAAAAAGCAAAGCAAACTTGCAAAATCGACAGAAAGGCCCCTTTTCTTCTTTTTTGTCGTCGTCATCCAAGCAACAACTTAGATCCATCTTCATCTTTATTTGAGATGATTGATCTCTTAGTTTCTCTCTATCTCTCTTTTCGTCTCTCAGGTTCCCTCTGCCCCTCTCCCTCTTTGTGTGTGTGTGTGTGTGCACATCGTAAACGTGAGGACTACTCCAGATATAAGGCTATGCCTATTAAAACTTAAAAGTATCCTTTCTTTTTCTTTTTCTTTTTTTTTTTTGTAGTCTCTAGAGTCATCTTTCTTCTTTTCTTTTTTTGGTCTCTAGGGTTCCTTTTTTTAAGATTATTTTTTGTTATTATTTTGGGTGCATAACAAAGTGTATAATTTATGGATTCATAATTATATTTTTATGTATTTCTACATTCTAGAAAATTTTTAAAATTGAATAATAAATAGAAATAAAAATTAAATAATATTTCTAACTTCTAAAAAATTTAGACTTAAGTGCAATTCCTACTTTAACAAATTTTTAATAATTTCTACTCATTAATTTTCGAATGGGCTTGCTCTTAATTGTTTAATGTGAACACGGATGATGATAAATAATTTTGGTAGCATCTTTATATTTTATTTTCACTATGTTTAATTTTTTAGGGAATGTATTTTGGTCATATGATGCATCAATGATGTTGTTTACACCGTTTTAAAATTTGCATTATTTTTTGCTGAAGTTTTTTGAGTCTTATATGTAGTGTTTTTTTGCATATCGGCCAAAACCATGCGGCGACGTCGAAATTGATATATATTAATGTCCTCCGAGTTAATGGTTGATACCGCGACTTTGAACTATAATGTTCTAGATACAAAGTACGAGAAGGTGGGTATTACTTTCCCACCAGGGGCTACCCTGCAACAGAGAGTAGCTCTGTTGATGTGAGAATATACAACTAATTCTATCCTTCACGTCCATGTTGCTTTGCTACCACATCATCTATTTAAACCATAACATTCCTCTGACCTGGAACTAGTAAAGAGGACAATCATCTCCTTCAAAAATAATCAAAATAAAAACATTTGCTTCAAGTATCTGATCTCAATCTCATGTCCCTTTTCCCAAAATCCTGATAGGCATATTAAGAACATCCTCTGATCTTGTCATCTACTTGCTCACCTTTTTTGTTTCCTCCTTTAAAGTGAGAAAGTGAAAAAAAAGAAAGGGGGGGCGCGGGGGGGGGGGAGCTCTTGAACCTTAAACAAAAAATAGATTGTACTTGTGAAAATCCCTTGGCATGTAGAGTTTTCCCTTGTCATGCCTGACTGTTACTACACTTCAGTTGCATGCAAATGATGTTTTCTGGTATCAAATATCAATCGATTAATCTTGCATTTCACTTGGATGAGCTCCATTATTTAGTTATTTTATTGTTCAATCTCTGAATCAGTTTCCTCCACACACAGTCCAAACTCTTGTGAGGCATGCCATGCTTCAGGTTCTTCTGCTTTTGATATTTTTTCTGGACTGCTTTGTGTAGTCATATCTTTTTTCCTTTCAATGGCCCCATTTCATGACTCTCAAGCCATATTTGTTTGCCCTTTTTGTCGTCGTTGTCCTAGTTTTCTTTTGTCATGTCGTACTAGTTTGTTGACAGTTTGATACCATTTAGAAACTCTGGTGATGCATGCCATCCTTCAAGTTTTTCTGCTTTTGATATTTTTTCCGGACTGCTTTGTGTAATCATATCTTTTTTCCTTTCAATGGCCCCATTTCATGACTCTCAAGCCATATTTGTTTGCCCTTTTTGTCATCATTGTCCTAGTTTTCTTTCATCATTTTGTACTTGTTTGTTGACAGTTTGATACCATTTAGATTTATTCTTTTTCATTCTGAAAATAGTTTGGCATAATTGTTATCGATGAATAGATATTTTGGGGGTTTGCAGCTATATATCAGTTCACTCAACAAAGTCTACCAGCGTGTAAACCTGTCATGACACCAGCATCGGTGAGTACATGAACAAAAGAATTCCTTTATGAATCTTCCTGAACTTGTTAAGTATTTTGTGTGCTTTAAGACAAGTTTTCTTCTTTACAGGTCATTACGTCATTTTTTCTGGTTGGCATCATTTTTATTCCAGTTGGACTTGTTTGTCTTCAAGCATCACAGAGTGTAAGTTTGGTATCTGCTTATTAAATAGTTGATCCATTAGCACGTTGATTTTTCTTCCTTCAAAAGAAGCCAATGTTAATTTTGTTTTGACACCTAAGATTCATGTCACTTTTCATTTGTAGGTTGTGGAAATCGTGGACAGTTATGATACTGACTGTATACCAGATCCATTTAAAAACAATAAGGTGGCATATATCAAGGATAGCTCAATTCCCAAAAAGTGTTTTCGGTTCCTAAAGGTGATAATTTGTTTTGGTTTGTCATTCATTCTAAGCAGGTCTATGGTTAACAACTAAAACAATTCTCGTTTATGAAACACACTGAATCATTGAAAGAGGACCTTATCCAATGGTTTTGCTATCATTAATATTTCAAATTTGTAACACTGCAATGGATGGCTGTCTTCTTAATGACAAAACACATTTGACGCTCCTAATTCTCTTGACATTCAAACCATATGGTTATTGTAAGTATGTAAAGTTTGACCACCTGAACAGAGACTTGTGTTTTTACCATTATGTTGGAGTAGATGACGCACAGCATTATAATGTGCTTTCTCTTGAAATCAATTGCATGTAGTAGTTTGTAAAGAAAACCCTAGGTGCAGGTCTACAGGGCTTTCTAAGCTTTTTATACATGTCATATACACACAAGGTGTGCAAAGGTGTGGTTGTCTGTCCAGATTCATAATTTTTTCATTCCCAACTGTTGTTACACTTGGACATGCAATCTTCATCTCTGTCCCATAATTTTCAATTGTAATTTGTAGGACAAGAAAAATGCCCGCAAATATAGCTGTTGGTCTATTTGTTCTAGATGTGCATATTTCATGCATTAGGAATTGGCAATATAATTAAAATAGATATTCCAACTTGAACTACTTTCGGAAGAAAAAGATATTCGGACTTGAACTTTGCATGGCCAGAAAATGATTGTACTTCACTTTCCTTACAAGTGGTATTATCAAGAAGTTATAGAGGAATATAAAAAAGTTCAGGATGCCCCATCATTCTCTTCTATTCGACGTTGTGAACGGGTAACCTTCTTGCACTTCATACCAGTTTCACATTTTGATTAATTTTTTCTGTCACATTCGAAAGAGGACCACGCCTGGTCATGTTCCCATAGTGAGGAGGCGCATGCTTTGACATTGAACCCAGGCATCAGGGTTCACCTAGTAAAACTCTTTGGGCAGACCATGCATACTATGTTGTTTTCTGCATGAGTGGGCAGTATCCTCCTGAATCTATCTTTGAGAGACTAATCCGTTAGATACATGAATTACTTAAATAAAGGAACTCTTTCTCAAATTTCTTTTCTTTTTTTTTGTGGCATTTGTGCATTTTGTTTACAACTGCTTTGTAGGTGCACAAACACATGAAAGCTCCAATCTACATCTACTACCAGCTCGACAATTACTATCAAAATCACCGACGGTCAGAAATTTTTCTCTTGTCATTCCTATTGCATTGATACATCATTAATTGCTCCTTTCTGTTCACTCTTTCTTCTAAAATTATGTTCTTCCATGGTCATTTTTTTTATTTTTGCATCCTTCATTAATAATTTTGGGCTTTTTTCAATATAAGGGTCTTGATGGGCTACTACTGCCCCTGCCCTGAGTTCATCTGTGAGCACTGTCATTGTATATCTATCAGTATTTCTTGTACTTTAATGGATATCATGAACCTATATGTTGCCAAGTTCATGGGTTCCCATGTTTTTTATTTTCTCTCTTCATTTTCGTTTTATTAGGAAACTAATTTTTTGTGTATGAGTATATATTGATTCGGCCTTGTGCATTCACTTCAGGTATGTCAAAAGTAGGAGCGATCATCAGCTCTTACATGGATTGAAGTACAATGACACAAGTTCCTGTAGACCTGAAGAGTCAAACAATGGTCTCCCAATTGTCCCTTGTGGATTGATTGCATGGAGTTTGTTTAATGACACGTACGCATTCTTCCGTGGGACCGAAGAATTGAAGGTCAGCAGGAAGAACATTGCATGGAAAAGTGACCGTGATCACAAATTTGGGAAGCATGTATATCCCTTCAATTTTCAGAATGGGACCTTGATTGGTGGTGGAAATCTAGATCCAACTATTGCCGTAAGTGATTATAATTTCCAGGGTCTAATTATGCTCTTTCGTAGTTTCTATGTCGTTATAATCTTAGAGGCAGTACACCTATCTACCCTGTATAGTGTGTTATGCTGGGGATGTTCTGCCATATGACAGTGTGGCATACCTCTCTGTCTTCTTTTTCCTTCTTTTTTTTTTTTTCAGTTGAGACTTTTTCCCTTATGTCAGTTGCATTATCCCCCCCTCCCCTCCCCTGGGGCCCCTTTCTCTCTCTATGTCATGTGGCACCTATCACACTCCGCCTCCCTCCATGACATGGTTACACCCAACTCCATTTGACCCCTTATAGTTTGACTCATGCCTATCGTATAAACTTCACAAACACTTTTTATGTGTTTTTGTAATCTCAACCTCTTTTTCGATATTCGTAACATCTGTAATTTTATTATGATTCAATCCACTTGTTTTTGTTATTCAAGAATTTTGATAATTTGATTCATTTCCCTTTAAAGACACTCTAAATCTGTTGTAACTTCCTAGCCCAACCACTACGATTTCTACATGTTTCTAAACTTAAGTAGATAACTATTTGCCATTCCTCTTGGTTTCTTTTATTCACTCAGAGCACATGAATAGAATGATTGTACCTGCTGTGCTGTGATGCCTATTTGGAAAATCTTTGGTATAAATTTAAAAATAAGTCCAATAAAGTTAATTACTTTATGAAAATTTTCTTTTTTAAGTTACCCCTTCTCTCCCTCCCTGGCCTCCCTCGCTTCCTCCCTCCCTACGCTTGTCATATGGGCTCCCATGATTTTTGAACATGGTTATACCAATTTGTGACCACAGTACCTTGTTGTAATCACCCTTCTTGCTGAAGGTCACCACTAAATCGTCGCCTATATTTCCTGCCCTAATGCTGCAAACTCCTGCTGTGACTTTTGTGATTTGGTAAAATATTATTGATGGAAAATAATTAATTGTAAAAGCATAAAGTTTCCTGAGATTTTCATTCTCTAGGTGGACAAGAATAAGTTAAATGCTTAGATGCAGTGCTAGTAATACAATGTGAGAGTTGAAACCAACTGATCATGGGAGTGAACTGTCATGTCCTCTATTTTTAAGATTCATTTGCAAGGGCATAGGGCAACAGTAATTAAAAATTTTATGAATTGCAGCCTCAAAGCAGTGAATAATACATGCTCCTTTAGATCTGTTCAATATTATTACAATTATTTGACAAAAATCTTATAGCTCCTAGGTGTGTCCCAATCCCTGCATGTGCTCCATTAATAGAATGAGGCAGGCATGAACTCTTGTGCAATTACGTCTCTTATTCAACATTCTTGGGCCTAAACTTGAGTATTGACTATTTTTCCTTGTTATACTTATACTTTTCCTTCTTCTTCCGTTCTTGGTGGTTTGGGATGCATGACATCAATCAGCTAAGCGATCAAGAGGATCTCATTGTATGGATGCGTACTGCTGCTCTCCCAAGTTTTCGGAAGTCATATGGGAGAATTGAAGAAGATTTAGATGTGGATGATGTTGTCAGAGTAGAACTCTTAAACAACTACAACACTTACAGTTTTGGCGGGAAGAAAAAGCTTGTTCTTTCAACAGCAAGCTGGTTGGGAGGAAAGAATGACTTCCTCGGGATGGCCTATGTTTATGTTGGCTCTTCTTCTATTTTCATCGCCTTTGCCTTCATGTTGCTTCATGTGAAAAATCCAAGGTAAGCCTTCCTATGTTTCCATACCGGGCTGCCAGCATAATTTCTTGGTATCTCTGCATAATCATGGAATGCTACATCGGAAATCTTAAGAACAGCAATCTTATAAGCTTGGCTGAAAATGTTGGTATTGAATCATTTTATTTGTTTAATTCCTTGTTTTTCCACAAATGAAGAAACACATGACATCTTTTTTGGAGCTGAAGTTTTGTGTAGACTATGGTTTCAACAATTTGTCTTACTACGAGCTGGGAAAATATATTTTTCCAATGCAAAATCATATTGGCTAAGAATTTGTTGATAAAAGTAATAACCCTTCAGTGATATGTTATGTTAGCATTGTACTCCTTGGATTTGCGAGTTTCCTTGATCGGAATATTTCTTCTTTAGATTTCTTTATATTTAGTATTTAGTCTTTAGCTATGACACATACTAATATAGAAAACCAAGGCACTACTAGAAAGGAATTATTTTTCCCTCCTACACAAAAAGAAAAAGAAATGATAGCTGAAAATCAATCTTGAAATGTCTTGACCACACATATTCAACTCTTGTTTGAAGCTTTCTTTAATGAGTACTCTTTTCTGGAACAGTAAATCAGCTTGTTCACACTTACATGGATCCAATCCACTTTGACTGGAACTTCATTCAGAGGTCCTAGGATTACTTCAAATGATGTGCATATGTTTAAGAGTTCCAGTCTTCACTTTCTGTCTACAAATCAGCACTACAAGTCTGCTTTTGAGGAAATTGTAAGGAGCCATATAATAGGCCTCTGAAAGACCAAACAATAGGCATAGACTTTTACCTATCATGGCGAAAACAAGTTGACTTTTTAGATCTCTGGTGCACCTAAGTCGTCTTAGTTTCCCTAGAGAGCAAGATCAAAGTTAAAGAAAATTTGCCCTATGAAGGAGATTCTGAAGTTTATGTTTATTTTGTTCTCTTTACCTTTATGATCAAATGCAAGAACTGTCGAGCAGTCTCTAGATGGTTAATTGGTTATAAGTACCCAAGGAGAAGCAAAATATGGATCCTATCCATGATTTCTCAATTTTTGTTGAAAATCGTGTGATTTATATCCATCCGTCTTACACAGATAGAGTTAAGAAGACGACCAGAAGTTTTTCCTCCCCCCTTTACTGAAACCCCTAGGGAAATCCTGAAAAACTAGAAATATCCCAAGTGGCCACCATATAATTTGTGTTTCTTCTAGACGACCTCTGCCATTTTAAGAAATTGTCAACCTCTCCAAACTAGAGATAAGGCTACTTATCGGTTACCGTTCATCGGCGTCTACTATAGGTGGAGGTCTTGTGCACTGGGCACAAATGACCTACAACCTATTTATCTTTACATAGAGTATTTGCTAGCAAAATAGGTTTGTAGGTCTTTGAAGTTGAACCATCTCACAAGTACCAATTTTTTTATGAATCATACACTGAAGAACCTTCCAAAATCAATTAGTAGAAAGAAATGTGAAGATCCCTCTAAAGGAAGTTGGAAGAATAGTTCGTGGAAATTTGTCATTTGGGAAAGGGAAGAAACATAAATTACATATGGCAAAGGTGTTCGTGGAAACAGTCCCTCCACACGTAAATCAAAGGGGATCTCTCTCTCTCTCTCTCACACACACACACACACACTCATCATTAGTCAAAGAGAGATATCTGGAGCAATGGTTTTACAGTATTCCCTGCCAACTGAAAGCTCCACACCCAAGGTATCTCTTGAATGATGTAGCATTTTCATGGCCTTCATGTTGCCACAGTTGTAATGCAGTGGTTATACAGGAGGGAGATGATAAGGAGTTGAATCCACATCAACCTGAACATAGGCTGCGACGGGGTGGGATAGGAAATTAAAACAACCTTGCAAAAACCTCTTCTATTCAACAAAGTTACAAAACCAAGAACTTCAAAATGGAAGGGACAAATTGAAAATATCTATACTTGGGAACCAAATAACAATTTCATACATTTCAATTGCAACTAATTTCTTTTTTTCAGGCAGGATGGGGTCATTGTCGCGCAGGTCTCAACATAAGAACCAATCAACCCTTTCACAAATTTTCAATTTCTCCACTGCAGTTTTCGGACAACACAGCACCATCCCTCTTGTGAGGCATTGTTCTCTACATCAATTACTGTAACCAATTTGTGCATTTCATGTAGAAATTTTGCATCATTCTTCAACATAGGCCTCTCCTGTAGAATTGGAACATGTTTTATGGTACATATGAGCAGGTTCAGTGCCATGTCAACCCAAGTTTGCATGTATCCCATCTCCATTGCCATTTCCTCTTTATCAAAAGAGCCCTTATGATTCTCTCTGCCTCTCACTTAGACGGGTTTACAACTTTGTGCAGGGACGGATCCAGGAATTTGGTGTGACAGACATATTCCTTTGGGCAAGTTTTTATGGGAGATAGTTGTGAAAGTGACATTGGATCTTGGGACACGAATTCTATATAATTGTAATAATAATTTGCGGATATATAGTAAATTCTAACCATTATACTGTAGCATACCTATTAACGAGCATGTAGGACATAAAGCAAATAAAAACAGAAAGAATGTACAATGCCTTCTTGTGCACATCATCAAAGCTCTCTGACCACTCTTCAACAATGGTCTCCAATTTAGGGGCATTTGAAGTTTTTTGAGGAGAAACGAGAGGTGCTGGTGCAACCTCCACCCAATTATGCTTGGAGCCCATTTATTTCCTTAGTAATAGAAGGGTTTGACCAAACAAAGAAAAAAGGTAATGGAAGGGACGTTTTACATCCTCTGCTGCAAAAGGCCTTTAAATCGAAGGGTTGCTGAATAGGAAGCTTAATGATTTAATGGGTTTTCTGGAGAAAGCCGAAGAGAAATTTGAGTTAGGGAGCAGTTAGATACATATATATACATATCTCTGTGTAGTTTTAATACTAAAAATAAGAAATAGCCTTAGAAAGTGGTCAACGGTAAACGTGAGTGTTTGAAATTTTGTTGAAGCAAGTTTCATAAAAGCCATAGAAACACTCAAGTCAGACTTATTATTAGATAAATGAGCAAAAATTAACTACATTATTCATCTTTCTAAATTTGCAATGCATGACCCCCCCTCCCACCCAAAAAAAAAAAAGAAAAAAAAATCTACAATTTATGTACACCAATTATGTATGTAAATGTATTATTAATATGCTAAGATGAATATTAAACTGTTAGCAATGACCTGTGATTGTAGACACTTCGTCGTATAAAGAAATGATTATTGATTGGGTAATATTTATATTTTTAATAATAATTTATATTATTTTCTTTTTTTTAAGAGAGAGCTAGGGGAGAGAGAAAAGAGGCTTACAATAATGTGGCAAATTTTAAACTTTATTAACGATTACGACATTTTTAAACTTATTTATCAAACAACAATACTATTTAAAAGTGGATTCAAGAGGTTTACAATAATGTGGCAAATTTTAAACTTTATTATTGATTTACAACATTTTTAAACTTATTTATTAAACTATGATACTATTTAAAAGTGGATTCAACAATTCTGTTTTCATTACAATGTAGATTCAATAATCTCACTTTTTTTAGAAAGAGGAGTCAACAACTCCGCTTTTGAATAAAAAATATATCTAAATACGAAAATTTTGTGGGCAACGGGTAAAAAGTTTGTTTACTAAACACGCTATTAAGTAAGAGCGAAAAAAAAACATTCTATTAAGCAAAAACAAAACAAAAATGTGTTTAGTAAACATGCTTTTCACACTTTTCATCTATTATGGTTACAACTAAATATTGCGGGCAATAGGTGAAAATTATATTTATAAACACGCTTTTTCTGAAAAGTGTGTTTACTAAACACACTTTTCATGATTTTTATATGCGATCACTGAAACTACTGATCACATTTTTTATTTAAAAGTGGTGTTATTGACCACATTTTCAAACAAAAGCAAAGTTATTGACTCCGGTTTTAAAAGTTCAGAAATGTCATAGCTAAATTGGTAATAAAGTTTAAAAGTTATTGCATTGTGGTAAATAACTCTAATTGATTGGGGGTTATGTAGAGAAAATAATATTTTTGAGGAGGAAAATAATTTGAAAAGAATTTTGCACCATTGAATCAAAGTAGATAAAAATTGAATCAATCTTGACCGTTGTTATCCGTTTATAAGTTGATATTTCAACTTCTTAATTACATGTAATATTAGATAGATGCTTCTTTTTTCACGTAAAAAACATTCTCCAATATGTGGCTAACTGATGAGTCCACAAGTTCGTTAAATGAAAACTGCAAAGGCAATGCAAGTTGTATAAGTGGCGAGGGACTTATTCTTCAATTTGATCTTCATCGGTAATTGTGTAGAGCGGAGTGCACTGGATTAAAATTTTGACATTATACTCATATGATTACTATGGTATGAATATTTCAGAGTCTGATTCACCAAATATTTTTTAATAAAAGAGAACTGTCACAACTACGTACTCTTTAGACTCATGGCCAAACAACCGGCATTCGAACGCGTGCAATCAAGAGCACATACAATAAACTGGGGCAAGAGTTGAACTTAAACCTCATCATAATAACTCTAAGATGTTTCCATCTAACCTGTCCTGACAAATTGAATCACATTATACTCTCCATTATAGTATTCCAATTACTCATATCCTTTATCATGATTTACACAGAAAGAACATACAAGCAATTTCTTGTGCACAATGTTAAAATTTCAAGACCCTTTAACAGTTGCGTCTATATACAATGGCAGATCAATGCACCACATAATTTTTGTGCATATCAACCTTACAGATTCTTCTTCAGAGTGGCCTTTCTTGGGCTTCGGCGCAACAACACAATCGTTCCATTGTGACATAGACATCCTAAGTTTGAAAAATGGAAAAAAATCTCTTAGCATGGCATGTCCATCTGACCTTTCTCAGACCCTCTAATTACGAAAGTCCCATAAACTGGATGCCATTTGTCTATATTTCTGGTTTTGTTGGTCCTTCC